TAAAAATAAATGTGGACGGAACTTGTTTATTCCGTCTTGTGAAGTTCTGAAATCCATTTTGAAATTGGTCAGTTATCGAAGTTGTAAATAAATACACCGCGTATAGATTTATTTTATTTACATGTTTGGATATATTTACTGGTCATCTGACTATTGCAAAAGAAACAAAACAAAAGAAACTTCGGCACGCCGAAGTTTGTATACCCTTGCAGATTGGTTTCGATGTTTATATTATAGATTTAAATGCTGAAAATACTCACAAAGCAGAGTTTCATTACATTTTACCTATACTTATTATCCTTACAGTTTGACAGTTACACTTTTATATTCCCAGCTTTATATATTTTTATACATTTACCGATCGCTTCTATGGCAGCTATAAGATATAGCTGTCCGAATTTTTATGAAATTTATACCAAAATTCTAGAATAATAAAAAAGCTTATATCTCAGAGTAAATAAAAATGCGTTGAAAAACAACGAAGCAATAATTTTATTTCTATTAATTTCCCGATCGTTCCTATGGCAGCTATATCATATAGTCGTCCGATTTTCACAAAATTTTTACCAAAATTCTGAAGCAATATAAAACGGCCATATCTAAAAAATTATGCAAAAATGTTTAAAAACAGCAAAGTTATAATTTTTTTTCTAAAATTTATCGATCATTTGTATGGGAGCTATATGATAGAGCTATAGTCGTCCGATCCGGCCCGTACTTTATAGGGTCGTAAAGGTCTCCTTCACTGCGTTGCAAACTTCTAACTGAAATTATAATACCCTGCAAGGGTATAAAAATACGAACACCAAAAGTGACTCATTCTGAAAGATTGTGGACTGTAAAAGACCAATTCGAAAACGAAAACTCTCCATCACGTTCTAATTTTAAGTAAATCGCGGTCAAAGTATCGATAACTGCTTGTTAAAGCCTAAGAAAACGCTAATTCTGCGTATACCAGAGCAGCTATTGATCTTAAACGAAAGCTTAATCTTTCCTTTTTTATACCCTTGCAGGGTATTATAATTTCAGTCAGAAGTGTGCAACGCAGTGAAGAGAGAAGAAGAAACCTTTACGACCCTGTAAAGTATATATATTCTTGATCAGCATCAACAGCCGAGTCGATTTAGCCATGTCCGTCTGTCCGTCTGTCTGTGCGTCTGTCCGTCTGTCCATTTCTACGCAAACTAGTACCTCAATTTTAAAGGTATCTGAATGAAACTGGGCAAAAATGATTCTCGAAGACAACACGGTAAGAGTGGGACGTCGCTACCAGATAGAAGTACTCTGAAAAGACGACCATGTTGTGCAGCCAAGCGTTGTGCTTCCAAGCGGTAAACGTCGAGGACAAGATAAAGCGCAACGGGCAGTTGGAGCTGGAGTACAGTCGGATTATAAAGGATTAGGTGTCTAAAGGATACGCGAGGCGGTTGCAGCCGGAGGAGGTCGCGGTGAAGAGCGGCCGAACATGGGATTTGACACATTTGTCGAAAACCGGAACAAGCCCAGAAAGGTTCGGTTTCTGTTCGGTGCTGCAGCCAAAGTAGGAGGAACATCGTGAAGTTCGGCGCTGGACTACAAGCCCTTGCCAGCCGTGCTCATTTATTTCAGAGAGGGAGCAGTCGATGTGTGCGGGGGCATCAAGGAGAAGTTCCACCAAGTGCTGACCCGAGCCGTGGATAGATGTTCTCAACGATTCCTTGGATAAATGGCGACGACGATCCGGATGTATATGAAATAAACGTTATGACGTTTGGAGTAGCCTGTTTGGGCGCTGCGCATTATGGTAAGACTGAGAATGCCTTGAAGTTTCGAGTTTTGGATTCGAGAGCAGTCAAGGCCATCGTCAATGACTGTGTGGACAGTTTCGCTTCAGAGTGCAATGCAGTCAGTGTATCTACCCGAGTAAAGGAAGTTTTCATCCAGCTCACTAAGCTGTCGGCGTTGGGACCAACCGGACGAGTCAAATGCGTCGGATAGGGTGAAGCTAAACAGAAGATCCTTGGAATCCGCTGGCAGCCTGCCAGTGGCAGGTAGGCACGGACTATTTCAGGTTCAGTATCACCGAATGGAGATCGAATGCCTATAAAGAGAAAATCTTGGAGCCTTGTGATGTCGACTTTCGACCCATTGGAATTCCTGCAGTGGCCTATTGGAGGGTCACGTATAAGGACGACGACATGCTGATGATGTGTGTGTTAGGGCTGCAAAAAAATCGATGGTATCGATGGTTGGCCGCCGGTATCCGTCTTCGATATTTTTCAGACTATCACGATAGTATTACAAAAAAACTCCCATCACTTGGATAAGAAGGTAAGCCGTATTTATAAGGAACATTTAATATTTACGTATTTTCTTTTTTTTTACAGAAATATTCAAATTTTGGTGGTTTCGGTATTCCGGTGGTTACTTAAAAATGGATAACGAGAGAAAAAGTAAGTCGATGCAAAAGATATTAGGAGATTAAATTCATAGTGGGCAAGGCGCAGGATAAATCCTTCAAAAGGTAAACCGACTTGCAAGTTCGGTGTGGGATCTTTTTGAAAAGACCAAAGATGGTAGACAAGTAAATATCGCATCTGTAAAATAGAACACTAGCAACCTTGCTGACAATTTCAAGAGATCCCACCCAACTTGCAGCCAGTACAAGACAACACAAGCGAATGTACAAAAATTTTTCACAAGTGATAAGTATGACAGCAATTCCACCCGAAAAGCCAGTCTTGATACGGCGTTGATGGAAATGATAGCCAAAGACGTGCAACCATTTTCTATTGTGGTGGACAAGGGTTTAGAAGCTTTGTGAAGCTGTTAGATCCGCGCTACACCTTGCCGTCACGCACCACTCTACAGAACGCGGAAATGAAAAGCATTTACCTATATATATACAGCTTGTACTGTCATCCCACACAGCGCATTTGTGGATTGGGATTTAAAAAAAAGTGAAACTCGTGCTCCCACAGAGCTGCGTTAAAATGCATCCGCATCTGAAGAACTGATCGATCAGCTGTGACTCATGAAAACGTAAACAATGATGGCTGAAGCGGCAGATGTGGGAGTAAAATGAATAGTTTATAAACTATTTCGGCTGTTTAACAACAGCAAAAACCAAAGATTGCGTCAGAATTTATCTGCACCAAATTTAAATGAATTAGATGACAAGGAATTTTAGTTTCTCTAATAATTTTTCTCTAACAAAGAGCAAATTCCCCGAAGAGTGTGTATAGGTGGTATAGGCATCCAAAATATATAAAATAGTAATAATTGGGGACATTTTGGGGCAAGAATATACAGAAAAACACCAACAACTATTTTAGGCATGTTTGTAGCTTTGGCGCCACATTTTAAATTTCATTTTTCAATTGTTCCTCGCAAACTTTGTTTACATTTTCGTAGTGTAAACGCTATAATCAAACCGGTATAATATGATCTTTATTCTTTAAAACACTTTCGACTTCTCTTCTCCGACGCAAGCTACCGAATGTCGCGGCGTCGTTTCTTTTCCTCTACTTATACCTATCGATGCGTAAGCAAGATAGGTATACATATTTATCCCTTAATGCTAATGTGCGAGATAGACAGAGATGACAGTCTTATACTTAATTCCAACGGGGCTTTTATCTTGTATGCCTCTTCAGTACAATGTGCCTTATCCTGATTCTATGCTAATACAATGTACAGTGGGCCTTATGTGTATTTAGCCTACCACAGTAGTGTTGGTCAAATCTTCACAGTTAAGAAAAGAAATCAGAGTTGCACTAAAAACTATCGCCTAACAAACCGTGGTTAGATTTAGATGCGATCTAATCGCGGTCCATTTGAGAAAATTCGGAACGACAAAACCTTATGGACCGTTTGTTCAACGGACGGTGGATGCGCTTTGACGGTGGGTGGTGGTGACATAGACGAAACTCGTGACCCATTGACCCATTAGTAATCCTGCAAATTTTAATTTTGAATGTTTAGATATGGGCGACTATCGCGATGGTATCACCACCATCGATGTTTTTGCAACTCTAGTGTGTGTGGCTCTGCTGATATATGGCTCTGCTGTGTTTTGGCTCTGCCGGTATGTGGCTCTGCCAGGGTGGCAATGCTTCCCACAATGAAAGGACGCTCAGTCGGTTCGCTCGTTCCTCCCGCTCTCCAGCGACCTGAGGGATTTCATCAGCTTAGCTGAGAACTCCGCCACCGCATACCGCGTCCTTCCGACCGCCAGCATTAGCGGCACCAGAGTGTCAACCCTGATCGCTGACCCCGCTACCGCCTCCAGCTCGTCCCTCCTCCTTATCGAATCGGCGACATTCGAAGATGACGTTACCCGCATCCTTGATTATCCCGGATCCGCACTCCGGGCGCTGCGAGGCGTTCGTGGCTGCAGCGATCTCAATGTCCCGTGTTCCACGTTCTAGCAGGGCCAGCGGCAGCTGTTCTCCAGAAGTGCATCGCACTGTTAAGTGGGTGTCGCTATATGGCAGGATACTGGTGGGTGGAGTCGAATCAAGCAAATGTCGCTGCTGTGTATTCGGGGCATATAGCGGCAGATATCCCCATGGAAACCGCAGCTGAAGATCTTTCAGATCGACGGTTACTTCGTTTCGCAGCAGAAAGTCCATGCCCAGATGGCTAGGAGTGAACTCGTGAGTAACCGGCCTTCCAGCAATTTCGAGTCTGGCGTTCACTCGAGCGGTGGCCACGAATTGTTCCGCTGAACTGAATTGTCACTCGGCACTGGGTGGTCGGCAGTCGTTGTTGCAGATCCCTCTCATTTAGTAAAGAGACGGCGGCCCCGGTGTCGATGATCAGGCGTAAAGACTGCTTCTGTAAAAAGATTAAGCAGTGTAAGTGAGGGCCACCCACGGCACGACAGGTATACGTAGCTTGGGCGGGCGGAGACTGAATCCCGCAAAGTTCAGCTTTAGGATTTCCAGCCTCCCGTTGCTTTCCCGTAGTTAGGGGGATTGGCGGTGGGTCTCCGGATGAGTATTCAGCGAATAATCGGCTCAAGGCGGAGTCCACTGGCTGCACGACCGATTCCTCTCCTTCTGCAGGCGGCGGCGGTGTAGTCCCGTAGGACTCGGCGGCGGCGGCAGTTCGGATCGCACTATTGGCGGAGGGCGGCGGTCCAGAGACGATCTCAATGAACGGCGGCTCCTGGAACGGAGGGCGGCGATCCACAGACGATCTCGATGGACGGCGGCTCCTGGAACGGATGTGCGCTGACGGACGGCACTTCCCTTGCAGGGTTCCCGTTCCGGCAGCTTCTTGGGTGGGGGTGCCCGAAAGGACACTCGGCCGGGGCACGGTGGCGACGTGCCAGATCGCAGCAAACTGTAACTCCTAAACGAATCGGCACTCTCTTCGGGCGGCGGGTCTGAGAACGAGGGGGCCAGGACGGCTTTGACTCCACTGGGAGGAAGACTGTATCGGGCGCCCGGTTGCTCGGTTGGCGGCGGCTTCTCGTCGAGGTGCTGCGAGGCGTTCGGGGCTGCGGTGATCTCAAGGTCCCGTGGCTGCTGGGCACTCTGCTCAAGCGGCGGCGGCGAGAGCAAGGGGGCCAGGACGGCTTTGACTCGACGGGGAGGAAGACTCTGTCGGGCACCAGGTTGCTCGGTGGGCGGCGGCTTCGCTTCGAGGGGTGGCGCAGGGTCGCAGGGGAGGGGACCCGCTCCAGTAATCCGGGATTGAGGGCGAGCTGGATATGTCCGGAATCCCGGAAGGGGTTTACTCTCCGGGGTGCGCCGACGGGATCGTCTGGGTGTACCACAGCGACGGTCATCACGGCTGCGGTTGAGCGTCGACGGCAATGGGCGTCGATGCGGCAGGCCATGTTGAGGGCATCTGTCAACGAGCGCGGATTGCTGCTGATGATCGGGACTTGATATCTGGTCTCTCGGATCCCGTCGACGAAGCGCTGCACGATGATGCTGTTGTAAGTCGCAGGTGGCAACTCGCCTAACACGCATCTGCCCAGGCGTTCCAACTCCATGGCGAAGTCCGCGAGCGACTCTCGGTGTCCCTGCATGCGATTTTGAAAGGCGTGTTAGCCGAAATGCTTATTGACCGTGAAATACTAGCGTATGTGGCCGCCTCTGCCACACACGCCGTGTTGGTGTGCCGCCCTTGTCGCTCACGCATCTAGCTGGTCTGCCGCCCGTGCCACACAAACATCGAGTTGCCGCACACACAGGCTTTGTGTGCCTTCATCAAATCATCGCAGCTCAACTATATAAAAAACGCAAAGACCTCCCAAGAGGCATTGAATATAGATACTAGAAGAAGTAAACATTGAATTGAGTGAAGAATTAAAAGTGATAATATTGGTGTCCAGTTTAAGTGCCGATTTCGAACATTTCATAGTTTCCATGAAAACGCGAGATTCTTTGACGTTATCAAGGTCAAGCTTCTGGAAGAAGCCGAAGGAATAGAGCAGAAAACCGAAGAAAACGAACATCAACAAGCCTTCTATGCAGGCGGCAACGGTATAGCTTCAAAGAACGGACAAAAAGGTGCGAAGCTAAGTAAGAAACAATTCGACGGTAAATGTTTCAAATGCGGAAAACGCGGGCACAGAGCAGCGCAATGCAGATCGCGAAAAGGTAACGAAGACGAAAGAACGGATCAAAGTGAACACAACATTTCGTATTCCGTTTTTTCGGCAACGCACAAAGCAACGGTATCGGAAAGCGCTTGGTGTCTGGATTGTGGGGCAACTTCTAACATGTGTAAACAAAAGATTTGTTTGTTTCGTTTGTCGAAATCAAAGACAAAATCATGTTGGTAGCTAATAATTTTTATCGAATCAACTGGCAGAGGCACAGTGATCATAAAAACTGGTGAAAGTATGATAAAACAAGAAAGGAAGCTAACTTCGGCACGCCGAAGTTTGTATACCCTTGCAGATTGCTTTTGATGTTTATATTATAGATATAAATGTTGAAGACACTCACAAAACAGAGTTTCATTACAGTTTACCTATGTATACTTATTATGTTTACAGTTTGACAGTTACAGTTTTACATTCCCAGCTTTACATATTTTATACAATTACCGATCGCTTCTATGGCAGCTATATGATATATTTGTCCGATTTTTATGAAATTAATACCAAAATTCTAGAATAATAAAAAAGCCTATATCTCAGAGTAGATAAAAATACGTTGAAAAACAACGAAGCTATAATTTTTTTTCCTATTAATTTCCCGATCGTTCCTATGGCATCTATATCATAAAGTCGTCCGATTTTCATAAAATTTTTTACCAAAATTCAGAAATAATATAAAATGGCCATATCAAAAAAATGGTGCAAAAATGTTGAAAAACAGCAAAGTTATAATTTCTTTTCTAAAAATTTATCGAACATTTGTATGGCAGCTATATGATATAGTCGTCTGATCTGGCCCGTTCCGACATATATAGCAGTGAGAGTATATAGAAGACTATATGCAAAGTTTCATTCAGATAGCTTTAAAACTGATGGACTAGTTTGCGTAGAAACGGACAGGTGGACAGACGGACAGACGGACATGGCTAGATCGACTCGGCTGTTGATGCTGATCAAGAAACGTCTCCTTCACTGCGTTGCAAACTTCTGACTGAAATTATAATACCCTGCAAGGGTATAATTAAAAGATGTACTGTATGTACCATCGCTGCAGATGAACTTTATTTCTGTGGGCAAAGCTATGAGTTATGGACACTGTGTGCAGTTCAAGAAGAAGGAAGCAATAGTCAAAGACGAAAACAATGTTGTGTTGCTGCGGGCGAAAATGAAAGACGGGCTATTCATTTTTGATAATAATAAGAAACATTCGTTGTTTCTGATGAATAAAAAAGACAAAATTTGGCATAATCGGTATGGCCATCCAATTACAGAAGCCCGAAAGAATTGGTCAACAAAAACATTGTGATCGGGTTTGATGTGAAAGACATAAAGGAAATAAACTGCGAAACGTGTAATAAATGCAAAATTAGTGCGACTCCATTTCCAAAAAAACTGAGTAAGCTGTGCGTTGGAAGTTTTGGAAATAATTCATACGGACATATGCGGTCCTATGAACGTGCCGTCGCACAGTGGCCGATTTGGCTGTTCTAGCGGCAGATTAAGAATATTTTCAACTGTTAAAATTAATAAAAGTTGTATTTTCTATCGATAGTAATATAATAATATACACAAAAAAAAATACTAAAACCGATCAAAGCGATTAACTAGATCAGATATTAACAATCAAAGTCAACATATGGTAGCACACTATTTTTCAGAGCTTATACCTCGGTTGCTGCACTCTCTTTTATATTTGCGACATTTTTTTATATTTCACCTTTTTTGAAACAAGTTCTCCATTTTATTAAAGCTTAAGGTATGTAGAATAAGAAAATTAATGTTTTGTAACCTGTGAGTAGATGTTGTATTTGTAGTTTATGTTTAAAACCATCAATGTTTGTAGCCCCCTTTTTAAAAGCATGTTTCAGCTTCTGTAGACTAAATCTTTTGTGAAGCTCGTCCGGCCCGCAAAAACTGTATAACTGTGCTAAACTATGGTTTGTCTAGTGTGTAAATTAACCAAGATCAGCTGCCCTTACGTGCCCCTGCTAAAGTTTAGGATATTTTCAGCAAACATTTGTAAGGAAGTTCTAAAGCTGGGGTAGGTCTCAGTCTCGTCCAGGTCCTCTTTATCAGAAAAATTTATAAAGAAATGGGACAAAAGGCATTTGACGTGCGGTAAACTGACGTGAGATGGTAGTTGTCAGTTAGCGGGATACGAAGCCAGAGAAATGGCTTGTCCGGTCTTTGCAATAGAGCGAAATAATCGGCGGAAGCGCGCTTTGGGCCGGGCCCATAGCAGACGCTATGGGGAGACCGAGAGAGGGGTCGATTATGGGGAGCACCGCTTCCTAGGGCAGAAGTTATGGCTTAGAAACTAGGCATTTTGTGGTAATATATTCCGCGAGTCATGGCCAACGTGATTTGGGGTCGTCCCTACGAGCAAATATTTAAATTTGGGTCGGAATAACCGGAGAAATATTTAATTTAATTTTCTGTAATACATTTGCCGCGAAGATAAGGTCCACCCTTTTCGCCGGACTTCGACGTTGTAATAAAATATTTCATTATAAATTCCCAACTGATTTTTATCCCAAGACGATCGGGGCTGAGCGAAATATTTTTAATTTATAAATTTCAATGAAGTTTAAGAGAAGTTCGGGTCCACCCTTTTTTCCCATACATGTCTCATTTGACAAAAAGTTTGCGTAGGTCAAGGAAAATAACATGGCGATAGCGAGGGGAGTTTTTAGTTTCAAGCAAAATATATATAATTAAATACTTGCGATATTCATAAGTTAAAAAAATATAAACTTTATTTAACTGAATATTGGTTTTACAAGTTATTTTTATTTTTGAAGAACACCAACCTAAATCTTTTAGGTCTTAAACTGAACTCCCTTAATTGATCTGGATAGATTGACGTTCAAGCCTCGGTCTCGAGCTTTCAGATATGGATTTAAACTTTAAAGTTCTGGAGAGGATTTAGGAGAGAGCTTGGAGTTGATAATTAATCTTCTCTTAGATTCAAGTGCATTCGCTCTTGGATATAAGTGCTCTTTGATTTTCGATTGTTTATTGAAATCTAATATTTTTGTTTTCGACTTTGGCGAGTCCGAACTTTGAACGTGGGAACGTGTGATGACTTAAGTCATAATTGTTTAGTCTACAGAAGGGACTGTCTGGAGTTTGTTTAGAGTTTCAGATTGCATCCTTTGTGTAAAGCCTGGGTTTATTCCGCTAGCTTTGGCTTTGGAATTCTTATAAACATCCGGCGGTTGCTATCTGATGTGTATGGATATAAGCTAGGGTAGCAAAGGGTGTATTGGGCAAGTGTGTTTGTGTTACAGGGTATTACAATATTGTGTATTGTGTGGTGTGTAAAGTAGGCGTAGACAGAGTCTATGGGACTGTGGATATGTCACTCCCCAATCGTTGAATTTTGCCTGTCCTCAGGAATTTAAATTTGGGTACATTAAAATATTTTCTGAAGCTAATGGTTCGGTACTGATTTGGTTTGGTGTTTCCTCAGGTTTGGTGTATTTTACAATTAACTTCTTAGGAATATTCTTAAATTTATAAATTAAATACAGGATAAGACTGGTTACTGTAATTACAAATGTGGTTATGCATATTATTTGGAATGTTGGGTAGTATTTTACATGGTTGTCAATTAGTTCTTTGGTCTCCAAATAAACTAATGGTTCTATTTTGGTGATATTGTTGTTTATATAAATTGTTTGTGTAAAATCAGCAAAACTGTTGGAAATTATAAATTCATCAATCTGGATAGTACAATTTTTAATTTTGATCAAGTTATTTCCTATTATTGTGACTTTACTGTTGGTGCAATCTTGGTTTACAATAGTTTGTGGAAGATTCCATGTAATTAAAATATTGGGTTCAACGTAGTTGAGTTGGAAATTCTTCTGTGTTTTAGTGTATTTGCACTCTGTGGTCTCTTGTTTAACAATTCCAATAATGCATTTGTCAAATATTATTTGCCCTGTATTCTTATTATAAACCTTATCATCATAGATATAAAACTTATCGAATAGATGTTCCGTCAGGATATAATTATGTTCGTCTGGGTATGGAATGATTTCGAAAACTGGCACTTTCGCAATATCGTTGGGAATATGTGAGATAATCAAGATTTCGTTAGTATCTGTTTTAAGCCAGGTAGAAGTTTTAATTTTTAGTATCTTTTCGGAATTAACTTGTTTTAGGTAATCATGCTTTAGTAGTTTTGGGTTAAAGATTCCTAATCTGGTTAGTTGCATGCCAAGTTCTATGTCTTCGATATATTCCGTGAACTGTTGTATATTAAACATCAAAATAGCTAAATGCTGATCCCTTTCTTTATCTTCTTTGAGCTTATTAATAATGTCTATCCCACTATTGATAACATCAATAATCATA